AATTTCACCATAAATGCATAATTAAAGTTGTTGGTTTCAACCAAAATGGGGGGGGAAATCAACAATTTGCAGACTTATAAAACTTAAATTAAAAACACAAAGTTCTTTTTCCTATTTTTGAACTGTCACCATTGGCATATAATGCAACCAGTATTGCTAAAGTAAACAGATTTTACTAATAACCTCTCTGGAAAGATGTTAGCATCCTTATGTTATTTTTATACAAAATAATTTTTCCTCATCCTGCAATTTGGCTCCAAATCTTAGCTGAAAATTCGCATTTTGTCCCCCTCTACAAAGCTTTCTTCCTAATTTCAGTAAACTTCCAAGGGGTCCTAGTCTTGGAACTAATTAATGTTTAAGGAACAAGAATGTGCAAAACATTTATGTACTTGTAATGTGCTCTATAGATCAGTTTTTGTTCAAGGAACTTGGACAATTCTGAGCGGAAATATTGAGGTTTCCGTAAACGTTCATTTAACCCTAAATTTGTTGTGTGCCATCACACAAAGACAGCCGCCTTAAATAAAAATAAAAAACTAGTAGTTTTCCAATACCAATAAATAGAGGTAAAAAATTAAACCTCTGTTGGACCACTAGAGATGGATCGACCCTAAATGCAGTGACCGAGGGGTGTCAAGCTCCAGATATGACCAAATATCCCCAACCATAAGTTTATTTTCTTTCACTGGTAGAGTATGTGTTTGTATAACCATAAGTTAGATTCCAAGGGAAGGGAATACACAAACTAATATAATGTATGCTTTAATTGCGCTATAATTCACTTTGGAAAAGGTCATTCACCAAATTCATAAATGTCAATGATATTGAGAATGTCTATATATCTCTATATAGTAAGTCATATGATAGCTGTGTGTAAGGAGCAGAGCATAATTTAAGTTGTTATACTCTTGAAATCATCCTCTATGAGGTGTTTTGGCACTGTTTCTGTTTATTGTAAGCAGATAATGTCAGAGAACAGCAGAAGGGCATTATTGTGGTTTTGGTTCTGTTCATGCAAGTTTTTGAGGTTCAGTCTTAATGGTTGCATTGTTTTTTTTCTCAGGATGATGATGATAATGACAGTGAGGACAATGTGACAGAGAATCCCTCTGCTGTCCAGGAACACCGTGCATCCGTTGCCAATGCAAGTGGAACGGAAAGTTTGCTGAGTCAGTCAGCGTGGGATGATGAGACGCCTGGTCCCTCCTATTCAACCCTCTTTCCATCTTCTAGCCAATCACAGGATGAGGGGGCGGAGCCAAGCTCAAGCACAGCCCCGCCTTTCAGCGGCCCTGACATGACTGGCCCTGCGGCAAGTAGCAGCGTGTCAGCAGGACGGGGTGAAGATAACGAAGAGGAAGAGTGCCTGATTGTGGGATACGTGAAGCCGATGGCCGAACGGACCCCAGAGCTTGTTCAGCTCTCCTCGGATTCGTCTGAAGAGGAGCAGGAGGCAGCTGATACGGAGACGACAACCACAGTAACGAAATCAGAGACTTCCCAAATGGAGCTCCCTTCGCAGTCCCATATGAACCTGCGTATTCCCAGTTTATCCCCAGGCCTCGCTCCCTCATGCAGTCCCCAGCGGACACACTCGGACTTACTCAGCAGAGAAAGAGAGACCGATTACTTGTCCTGCCGCGCTCACCCATCCAACGATGGTTCAGATTTACGGCAGAATCGAGATGACACTGAGCTCAAAGCGCATGGGAGACGCAAAGACTCACATCGCCGCTCAGTCAGCAAAGAAAAAGCCAAGAGTTTAGACCAATCATGGCATGACAAGACCCCAGATTGCTTGCCAACCCAAACACGTTCGCCTCCAAGTTGGTCCGGTCAGAGTCCAACTGTTTCTATTTGGAGCAGCAGCCCTGTCTCTGGGTCAAACGCTAGCGACTGCTCGACCTCTCTAAACAACACGAGCCTAGAGCATTCGTGCCACGTGCGAGACAAACTCTCACAGTCTCCTTCCTACTCCAGGAAGAGGAGAATCAGGGAAATGAAGAGCAGGTCTCCCGACTTGGACTCGTTTCTTAATTTCCACCATCCCAGAGAGTCACAGCGCTGTCGTAAACGCCGCAAGCGAGCGATCAGTAGCAGCAGCGCCGACTCGCAATCCGAAAGGTCCTGCCTGGACAAACCAAGTGGGAAACGCAAGTACAAAACCCGGCACTTGGAGCGAGCGGCCCAGCGGCTGCATGAGGAGGGAACTGCAACCAAGGAAAAGCGGCGGCGGCGCAGTAGGGAACGATCTCCCAGTGTGGAGATCATCTACGAGCGAAGGGCGCCCGAACCGCATTGGCACCAGCGGAAGAAGAGGAGGCACCGAAAGCGGAAGAGGGAACTCCGTTCACCCACTGTAATCACGATTGACAGCGACAGTGACCGTACCATCGACTGTCTGGACCGTGTCATGGATATTATAGACCAAACCGCTGCAGATGTTGAGCCGAGGGACGGGACTCGTGGGCAAGATATGATCCAGAACTTGAGTTGTACCTTAGCCTCCTCAAATCCTCAATCCGAGTCCTCGAGTCCCGTAGTCCGCACTGACCCAACCACTGAACGCACACTAAACCTGGACGACTATGTGGTGGACGTAGTCGACCGCAGTAGTTCCGACTGCTCCCGAAATGTGGATGACAGTAGCCCCGAAGAGTTTGTGCCCAACCCCTTCCCAATGGGTTCGATGTCACCAGCCCCACCTTCGGACACAAGACTGCTTGAAACTATACTACAAGATCTTGAGGAATTCCTACCAGAGGCGACGCCGAGTCCTTACGCAAGTTCTCACGTCCAACAGGAGCGAGCTTCTATCCCTCGAAAAGACCAATCAGACACAAGAGGAGTTGCAAAAAACTTGGAGAAAAATAACACGGACGGAGACGGGCCGCAAGAGCCGGTGACCAACATTGCTAGCTAGAACTAAAACAGACGTACATCAAGACTTTTTCTTACTTGCATAATGCTTATCTGAATCACTGAGCCAGTCTAGAAGTTTTTATAATCTCATTTAAAGATTTCTGCTGGGAACAACAGATGCTTAAGAAACATTCAGACGTTTTTGTCATTTCCAATGTCATTATTATTGTTCATGTTGTTTATAGTTGCAGTGATTGATCCTCTTCTTTGAATCTGGTGCTTGCTTACTGTGCCACAACCCAACAACAGTCATGTCTGGATGGTAACCCTTGTTCCCCTAACCTCTATCTAACCCTTTGTAGCAGCAAATACATTAGGGTTACTATCTAGACTAGTGGTTCTCCACTTGTTTGGTTCAGGTCCCAGATTTAGTTTCAGAAGACACGTGGCCTTTGACCAACTGAGCAAAATATATTGGAAGAATTAGTAGCAATCCTAACTGGACTTGATGATATGGTTAGTTGCATGTTCTGCTTTTTAACAGACCAGACATCTGTTATTGGGACCAGACTCACTGGTTGAGAACCACTGTTGATCATTCGTTATTCAGTCCCACTGAACTTTGAGAATTGTGTCTTTTTTAAACTCAGGGAACAGGTGACGTGCGCCTCCATGCCTTCGTTACACAGTATATACTATGTGCTTGTGTATGTGGGACTATGGTGACACCCTGGAGATATAATTCACTGATCATGTCTACTGAACACACAACAAGCCTTCTTTACAACAGCTGTCCATCATGTCAGCCAACAATCAATAAATGCATTTAATAGATGTACAATCCAGCGTCTCAATCGGTTTGTCTTTCTTTTTGAATTGCAGCATTAGTTCATCAATTTTGTGACGTGCTCTGTCGGCCGAAGTGGCATAAAAACACATCTAAAACGGGAAGGAACTTTAAGATTGAATGTACAATTAGATGTGACAAGAAATCTGAGGTATATTTTTACAGACTGCTGAAAGCTACAGAACAGAGAAACAAATGGACCCCAGCAATTGACAGAAACAACTGGACTCTGGGCAGAGAAAGGTGGATTTGCAGTTATCATTTTGTTGTCAATATGCTGAATTTTGGGGTAAAAGCATAGCCTATATTGTATTGACAACTCATCAATTAAATATTTGTCATCCTATAATCTGCATAAATTGACGTTTTTAAATAAACACTGACAAAAACAACTACACGTTTTAGTGCTGGACGATATGATGATATAACACTGATATAAGTGATCACCTGGTTTTAGACATGTTTTAAAGCGTTCACAGGCAAATTTGCTTTATTTCCTTGGTGTCAAAATCAGTCACATACTGTATAAATGTCAGGAAACACGTTGCATATCAATATCCAATATCATGTCAATATATCTGGTAAGTGGGAACACTATAGTTTTAAACTGATAATCGTTAAACCATAAATCCAGTCACGCACAGGGAGTATGTTCCCGCGGGAAAATGACGTCAAGGTATGAGGTATTTATTAGCATCTTTTTTTATTATAAAGGCTAGTTAGCATAGGCTTTTGGATTATCGCTAAAAACAAGCTATATGTGATCAACAAAAGTGTATGTGGTTATATTAGCCCCACCCCTTGCGATTTTAGGACTCTGTAACCTGTGATTAAAAAGTAAAATGGTTGTAGCCTACACATAATTCTGTGCTTTTTATATCATTATTCAATTTAACTACGTTTACCTTTAGGACATGTAGGCCTAGGCATATAATGTAGGAACCATATCTTCACACAGTGGAATTAAATCTCCACACTTGTATAATTATTACCTCAATATTATTATTTATTATCAATGTTTTCCAAAGTATCACGAGCTTTAGAGGTGAAATTATTTTTGGGAGTTCCCCTTTAAGGATTCTGTGGATTTATTCGGAACAGGGACACTTTTGATTTCATTTTTGGTGAAATTCTCAATTGTTGTTGTGTTCTTTGCAGCACTTGCTAACTGACACGGTGAGGAGTGTTGGCCGTGTCTTAAATCCTCGTGAGCTGACTAACAAGACAGCAGTTTTGGGCATCGTAGGCGTTTTGAACACGCCTTTATAGACAGCTCACTAGATGTTGAGACAGCTGAGGTAACATATATTTCGCTTCCTTGTTTGTAGTTTCGCTTTTGTTTCTGGATCAGATGTCGTGAGCTCAGGCTCAGTCAGGACTTATAATCATAAGACAGTCTTCATCATAATCAGTCCTGTCCCGAACAGCCGCAAACATGTACGAGCTGGAAAAGGAGAATTTGCGGCGCTTGAGCGATTATATCGCGAAGATTTTACGACCGTCACTTATCAAAACCTTCATGACGACGCACTTTGATAAAGGTGAGTTAATGAACGAATAGCAGCAGGTAATCGGTTCCATAAAACCTGCAGAAACTTGTCATCTTAGTCAAAATATCCCTCAGTTGATATTTGATTAGAGTCCTATTGGATATTGTATATCAGAAATATATTTCTAGTGTGCTTATTAATGTGTAGTAAATAATCAGAGAGTGGCTGCAGGACTATTGACACCCTGAAATACCTTTATGCCTATATATGATTGTTTTAACTTATTGGTGGTGATAAAAGAACTCCAAAATATTATAAATTAAAATGTAAATATATATCTATATATTTTTTTCGTTTATTTATTTAGATTTATTTTATTATTCATTTATTTATTAACACTATTTTCACAGACAACATAGCACTGCCTTGCAGACCCCAGTTTGAATAAAAAAGAAAAATTAATGTAATGAATGTTCCAGATATATCTTTTTAAAATAATTTTTATTACTCTATTTAGTAGTCTAATTTTTATTTTTTAGTAATGTAGGAATCATACAGAAAAAAATACTATAAATATTGTACACTCAACAGTGTTGTTTTATTTTTATTATAGTTGTATTGATATTTTAAGGTAGTTTTTATTTTTAGATTGTAAGTTTTCATGTTAATTAATTTCATTTTCAGTACTTTTATTAATTTTTTTTTCTTTTTCTAAATATTTCTGTTTATTTATTTTTTCAGTTAATAATTTTAGTGCTTTAATTTAGTGTATATAGTTTATTTCCAAGACAACATTTCTAATTTTAACATTCATCTAGCTTAACTAATATATATAATTTATTTTATTTCAGCTTTATTTCACTAAACAAACGTAATACATTTTTATAGTAGTTTTAGTTAACGATAATAACCCTGATTCACGCTATATGGTAGTGAGTGGGACTTTTTTCTTAACGGATTGTAAGATTTTAGTTTAATTTAAAATGACTGGGAATTCTATTCTGTGTAATTCTATTTTATTCTATTCTGCACAGAGATGGTGGAAAGGATTCTCTCAGCCGAGGAGACGTCTGTGACCACCGCTGCCCAGATGTTGCTGGACCAGATGTGTTATCTAGAGGAAGAGGGCTGGTTTCAGGCCTTTCTGGACACCCTGTTCGCCTCAGGTGAGATCAGGAATTACAGGAGCAGCTGATAGATGCTATTATTTACACTAAGTGAAAGTGGCACTATTTTAATTTGCGCTTTGTGAAAATAGTTATTTTTATACTTAGTGCAAATAGTGGCAGATACACTTTGCACCTCATTGTATTGTAGAACATTATAAAACAGTATGCAATAACAACATATTCAGTGTGTATGATTATATTTATTCAAATGCTTTAATGGGACATTGACATTACCTCCCCTAAACCTACCTGTTAAACAGTTTATTCCCACTATTAAATACCAGTTAGGCACCTTATTTCCACTTTTTGACTATTTTTTTTATTTGTTTTTAAAAATAAACGCTAACTCCGAGCTGATTTGCGATGAATGACGGATTCGATCTAGGGTCGTACACGTCAAAGTCTAACTCTCCTCACCACTGTTATCAGACAGGTTTCTTTTGTAATTTCGCCTGGCTCAATCAGTCAATGGACGGGTGGGGTTAGTGTAAATAGGGTGGTGATGGTGTCTGTGAGACACCAATGTGTCCCTGAGCAAGACACTTAACCCCTAGTTGCTCCAGAGGCGTGCGACCTCTGACAAATATAGCAATTGTAAGTCGCTTTGGATAAAAGCGTCAGCTAAATGAATAAATGTAAATGTAAATAGCCCATGCCAACCAGGTGGGCGATTTGCATCTGGTGTAAATAGATGTTCCGTTTAAAGTCCCCCTGTAGTCAATAATTTGATCCCTTAAAACTCATTTTTGATCACATAAAAAAAAAGAAAAAAAAGAAATTCCTTGTAAAAAATTATTCATGCTTTAAAATATCTTGTATGTAACTCGACACCCTTGCCTCATTTAGTATGCGCGGTTCTATGAATATGCAAATGAGCCCCGCCTCCACTCACTCACTCAGCTCAGAGATCCACTGGTTGACGATCACACGTTGATCTGATTGGTTACAAGGTCGTTTGTGACGTCAGAAACACCAGCGATTTCAAACCGTGTTTTTGAGACTGTCTTTGGTTCACTGCAGTTTTAAGAAGAAAATACTCAGCAATGCTGTCGACTTATGAATTTACACATGGTGTGCCTTAAAGCGTATTAAAAACACCATTCTCACCACAGGGGGACTTTAAAATCAGTGAAAAGTTTCCATCGAGGAAAAGGTTCTTTAGAGTTTCAAAATGTTCTCCACACTAAGAAAAAATTGTTGTTTTTAAGAACTGACCATTGAAAGGTTCTTTGAGGAACCAAAAAAGGTTCTTCTATGGCATCGCTGTTAAATCGCTGTGTGTGATGCTGTAGAATATACCGGTCTGTACAAGGCCATTAAGGAGTGGGACTTCGGCCAGTTAGAGGAACTGAATGAGTACCGGAAGCTTCTGGAGAGAATCGAACCATCGATCACCAAGCTCATAAAGCCCAGCGAGCTGCTCACGCACATGAACGACTGTCTCAAGCCCAGAGAGTGTGAAGAGATCAAAGCGGTGAGTTTGCCTCTGTGGTTGAGGTGGTGTGAAGTACACTATATACACTAACAGCCAAACGTTTTAGATCGGTAAGATTTTGAATGTTTTTAAAAGAAGTCTCTTCTGCTCACCAAGGCTGCATTTATTTGATTAAAAAAAAAACTGTAATATTGTGAAATATTATTAAATTTAAATTAACTGTTTTCTATTTGAATATAAAAGTAAAGTGTAATTTATTCCTGCGATCAAAGCTGAATTTTCAGCATCATTACAGTCTTCAGTGTCACATGATCCTTCAGAAATCACTCTAATATGATGATCTGATGCTCAAAAATAAAATTGTCTACTTTGGCTCTCAACGAAGGCAGTCGCATTTTCTTCCCCTCCTCTCCCTTACCTCCCCTGCTTTGCTCCTCTTGTCTCGTTTAGTCTACTGTCTTGTACTTTGAGAGACTCTCTCCGCACTGCTCTCCAAACTAAGAAATTATGGATTTGATCAACTGGTCTCTCAACGCAATTGACACCATCTTCTTGACGAGAAGCTTGGGTTTGGGGGAACCTGACTGCAGTAATGATGCAGTAATGATGCTGAAAATTCAGCTTTGATCACAGGAATAAATAACATTTTAAAATATATTAAAATAGAAAACAGTTCTTTTAAGTTGTCAAAATATTTAACAACGTTACTGGATTTTTATTTTTTTATTTTTTTATCAATTAAATGCAGCCTTGGTGAGCAGAAAACAATAAAAATACTTGCCAATCCAAAACGTTTGACTGGTAGTGTATGAATGTTCCTCTCATTCTGTGTTTGTGTGTGTGTGTGTGTTACAGGTGGAAATCCAGAAAGGTCGTATCGCTGCCAGTGAGAGACTCGTGGACACTCTCCTGCGCTCGGACAAACCGAACTGGTTTAAGGTGCTGAAGATGGCGCTGGACGCCTGCAGCTGCGATCAGGCACTGGAGCTGCTGGAGTCCAGTAATACTGACATTTTCAGACACTCGTTTTACCTTTCTTTCATTTGTTCATTCATTTATCATCTATCTACACTATATTGCCAAAAGTTTTGGGACGCCTGCCTTTACATGCACATGAACGTTAATGACATCCCATTCTTAATCTTAATCTAAAGTAGGGTTTAATATGAAGTTGGCAGCTATAACAGCTTCAACTCTTCTGGGAAGGCTTTCCCCAAGGTTTAGGAGTGTGTTTATGGGAATTTTTGACCATTCTTCGAAAGCGCATCTGTGAGGTCGGGCACTGATGCTAGACGAGAAGGCCTGGCTCGCAGTCTCCGCTTAATTCATCCCAAAGGTGTTTTATCGGGTTGAGGTCAGGACTCTGTGCAGGCCAGTCAAGTTCCTCCACACCAAACTTGCTCCTCCGTGTCGTTACGGACCTTGCTTTGTGCATTGGTGCGCAGTCATGTTGGAACAGGAACATCTCTGTTCCCACAAAGTTGAGAGCATGAAAGTGTCCAAAATGTCTTGGTATGCTGAAGCATTAAGAGTTCCTTTCACTGGAACTAAGAGGCCAAGCCCAACCCCTGAAAAACAACCCCGCACCATAATCCGCCCTCCACCAAACAACCCCACACCATAATCCCCCCTCCACCAAACAACCTCACACCATAATCCCCCCTCCACCAAACAACCCCGCACCATAATCCGCCCTCCACCAAACAACCCCACACCATAATCCCCCCTCCACCAAACAACCCCGCACCATAATCCCCCCTCCACCAAACAACCCCACACCATAATCCCCCCTCCACCAAACAACCCCGCACCATAATCCCCCCTCCACCAAACAACCCCGCACCATAATCCCCCCTCCACCAAACAAACCCGCACCATAATCCCCCCTCCACCAAACAACCCCACACCATAATCCCCCCTCCACCAAACAACCCCGCACCATAATCCCCCCTCCACCAAACAACCCCACACCATAATCCCCCCTCCACCAAACAACCCCGCACCATAATCCCCCCTCCACCAAACAACCCCGCACCATAATCCCCCCTCCACCAAACAACCCCACACCATAATCCCCCCTCCACCAAACAACCCCGCACCATAATCCCCCCTCCACCAAACAACCCCGCACCATAATCCGCCCTCCACCAAACAACCCCACACCATAATCCCCCCTCCACCAAACAACCCCGCACCATAATCCCCCTTCCACCTAAAAACCCCACACCATAATCCCCCCTCCACCTAACAACCCCACACCATAATCCCCCCTCCACCAAACAACCCCGCACCATAATCCCCCCTCCACCCAACAACCCCGCACCATAATCCCCCCTCCACCTAACAACCCCACACCATAATCCCCCCTCCACCTAACAACCCCACACCATAATCCCCCCTCCACCAAACAACCCCGCACCATAATCCCCCCTCCACCAAACAACCCCGCACCATAATCCCCCCTCCACCAAACAACCCCGCACCATAATCCCCCCCTCCACCAAACAACCCCGCACCATAATCCCCCCTCCACCAAACAACCCCGCACCATAATCCCCCCTCCACCAAACAACCCCGCACCATAATCCCCCCTCCACCAAACAACCCCGCACCATAATCCCCCCTCCACCCAACAACCCCGCACCATAATCCCCCCTCCACCCAACAACCCCACACCATAATCCCCCCTCCACCTAACAACCCCACACCATAATCCCCCCTCCACCAAACAACCCCACACCATAATCCCCCCTCCACCAAACAACACCGCACCATAATCCCCCCTCCACCAAACAACCCCGCACCATAATCCCCCCCTCCACCAAACAACCCCGCACCATAATCCCCCCTCCACCAAACAACCCCGCACCATAATCCCCCCTCCACCAAACAACCCCGCACCATAATCATCCCCCCTCCACCAAACAACCCCGCATCATAATCCCCCCCTCCACCAAACAACCCCACACCATAATCCCCCCTCCACCAAACAACCCCGCACCATAATCCCCCCTCCACCAAACAACGCCGTACCACAATCCCCCCCCCCACCAAAAAACCCCACACCATAATCCCCCCTCCACCAAACAACCCCACACCATAATCCCCCCTCCACCAAACAACCCCGCACCATAATCCCCCCTCCACCAAACAACCCAGCACCATAATCCCCCCTCCACCAAACAACCCCGCACCATAATCCCCCCTCCACCAAACAACCCCGCACCATAATCCCCCCTCCACCAAACAACCCAGCACCATAATCCCCCCTCCACCAAACAACCCCGCACCATAATCCCCCCTCCACCAAACAACGCCGCACCACAATCCCCCCCTCCACCAAAAAATCCCGCACCATAATTCCCCCTCCACCTAACAACCCCGCACCATAATCCCCCCTCCACCAAACAACCCCGCACCATAATCCCCCTCCACCAAACAACCCCGCACCATAATCCCCCCTCCCCCAAACAACCCCGCACCATAATCACCCCCCTCCACCAAACAACCCCGCACCATAATCCCCCCCTCCACCAAACAACCCCGCATCATAATCCCCCCCCTCCACCAAACAACCCCACACCATAATCCCCTCTCCACCAAACAACCCCGCACCATAATCCCCCCTCCACCAAACAACGCCGCACCACAATCCCCCCCCCGCACCATAATCCCCACTCCACCAAACAACCCCACACCATAATCCCCCCTCCACCAAACATTACACTTGGCACAATGCAGTCAGGCAAGTACTGTTCTCCTGGCAACCGCCAAACCCAGAATCGTCCATCGAATTGCCAAACAGAGAAGCTTGATTTGTCACTCCAGAGAACACGTCTCCACTGCTCTAGAGTCCAATGGCGGCGTGCTTTACACACACTGCATCTGACGCTTTGCATTGCACTTGGAAATGTAAGTCTTGAATGCAGCTGCTCGGCCGTGGAAACCCATTCCATGAAGCTCTACGCACTGTTCTTGAGTTATTCTGAAGGCCACACGAAGATTAGAAGTCTGTAGTTATTGACTCTGCAGAAAGTTGGCAACTTCTGCGCACTGTGAGCCTCAGCATGTGCGGAACCCGCTCTGTGTGCTTTCCATCCTTTTGTCAGTTCATTTTTTTCTCATTACTTTCTTCCATTTTTACATCCATCAGTGATCAAGCACTCATTCATCATATCCCCCATCAACAATATTGCTTGCTTGCTTGCAATAGGGCGATCAGTTCATTCTGACTCATGATGATGATGATGATGATGAAGATGTATGTCCTGCAGATGGAGGCGGTACAGCCTCAATGGGCTGCGTATCTGATGAGGAGGCAGATTCCATGACGACAGAAACCGTGACGACAGTGAGTTTTGAGTTCAGAGAGGAGGCTGAGAGTGAAGACATGCTGATGAACGCCAACAACATGACTGTCACAGAGACACCCAGCGGGTTCAAAGGTACACGGCCCGACATCATGTGACCATATCCTCAACGCTCTTGAGTTTGCTGACCTTTGACCCTCTTTGCAGGGGAATACGTGCGTTCAGGCGAGCGTAAGCTGAGGGAGTATCAGAAGGAGCTGACGGACGCTGCTGAGGGGCAAAACACCATCATCTGCGCCCCTACAGGTGCGTCACACCAAACAAAAGAGACTTTCACATACAAAACACTGTAAACTGACCAATGAGTTTGACTAGCATTTACACAAGCATTGCTGCTATTCGTATACCAAAATACCATTTGCTAGTAATTACCTTTAATGCTAGAAAGCATTGTTGAATTAACCTAAAAATGGCAGGGCGTGCTTTTATCCAAACGACTTACAAATGAGTAGAACTAATCAAACCAACAAAAGGCCAATAATATGTAAGTGCTGTGACCAGTCCCAGTTAGTCCAGCACAGAACACATAGCAAGTTCTTTAATAGATAGAGTAGAAATGGAATAGTAAGTGTTAGTATTAATGGATAAAGATGCGTCTTCAGACCTTTCTTGAATATGGTTAAAGACTCGGCGGCTCAGGTTGAGTTCAGCAGGGCTTCACCAGCAGGGAACAGTCCAGGTGAAGGTCTGTGAAAGTGATTCTGTGCCTCTTTAAGATGATGCACCACAAGACGCTGTACACTTGCAGAACACAAGCTTATGGAGACATATGTCTACAGTAGTAAGTGTAGGTTTATGAGTGCAGAGCCAGTGTTTGATCTACAGGAAAACATCAATGCCTTGAATTTGATGCGAGTGGCAAATGGCAACCAGTGCAAGTTTATGAGGAGAGGAGTAACATGCGATAAAGTCCTCTCTTGCTGATCTGGATCAGTTGCAGAGGTTTTGACAGTGATACTGGAAAGAGAGAGCATTACAATTGTCCAGTTTGGATAGAACAAGAGCTTGGACAAGGAGTTGTGTAGCTCTGATAGGAAGGGCCTGATCCTCCTGATGTTGTATAAGGCAAATCTGCAGGACCGGGCAGTTCCAGCAATGTGGTCTGTGAAGTTCAACTAATCATCAATCACAACTCCAAGTTTCCTGGCTGACCTTGATGGAGTTATGGTTGATGAACCCAGCTGAACGGAGAAGTTGTAATTAAGTGATTGTTGGCAGAGACTACGAGTAGTTCTGTCTTCACAAGGTTTAGTTGAAGGTAAATCCAGCAAGAAATGTCTGTCAGGCAGGCTGAGATGCGAGTGGCTACCGTCGGATCATCTGTCTGGAATGAGAGGTAGAGATGTGTGTCATCAGCATAGCAGGGATCTGAAAAACCATGTTTCTGAATGACATATCCTAGTGATGACATATATATGGACAACAGAAGCGGTCCCAGCACTGAGCCCTGAGGCACTCCAGTAGCTAGATGATAGCAGTGATGGGATAAACCATGTTTCTGAATGACAGATCCTAGTGAGGACATGTAGATGCAGAAGAAAAGCGGTCCCAGCACTGAGCCCTGAGGCACTCCAGTAGCTAGATTATAGCAGTGACAGGAAAAGCCATATTTCTGAATGACATATCCTAGTGAGGACATGTAGTTGGAGAAGAGAAGCGGTCCCAGCACTGAGCCCTGAGGCACTCCTGTAACTAGATGTTGTGACTTAGACATCTCACCCCTCCATGACACCCTGAAGGACCTACGGAGAGGTAAGACTTGAACCACTGGAGTGATATACCTGAGATGGGGTTAACTGTGTCAAACTTAGCAGACAGATCCAGTAGGATGAGTACTGCTCTTCCCAGTCTCAGAGCTTCAATAACCAAATATACTACTATAATAGCCAAATATAAATATAAAAGCTACAATAGCCAACTTTTGATTGTTGTCCAGGAGGTTGTTCTGTGTGAGAACAAGTGTTTTTGTAATGAATGAAAGTGCAGGGTTTAGAGTCTGTTTCCTAAGTGGTGGGGCTATATGAAATATCAACATATTAGCACTGTGTCCTGTTCACACATCACAGAAAATTTGTTAAAGTAAGCATTAAATGTAAATTCATATGGACGACCTAATCTTCTTATTTTGAATAAATCATCCATGCATGTTTAATTTTTAATTTCCCTTTTTACCTTTAAAGTCACAATGCTACGGTGAAACATCAGACTTCTCTCAATCATTTAGTCAGCTGTAAGTCCGCACATTTCTCACATTCAGATCCGCCTCCATTTGTAATGCAACGTCCACCTCTCAACATCACATAAAAAAACGAATAAATAAATATTTACTCTACCGGTCAAAAGGTTTTTTCTACCGTTTTTTTTTTTTGTGATAATTTTTTCCTGTTTCCCACTTTCCCTCAGGATGTGGAAAAACGATTGTGGCCGTGGCCATCTGTGAACACCACCTGAAAAAGTGTCCCGGACAGGCAAAGATCGTGTTCTTGGCAACCAAGGTCGACGTCTATGAACAACAGTACAAGCTTTTCAAGGAACACTTTTCTATTACTGATCCCAACATCAGGTAAGGTCCCACACAAACACACACACACACACACACACACACACACACACACTCACACACTCACACACTTACACACTTACTCACTAAC